GTTTTTAAAGAAGTAAACAAAATTGTTAGCTAGATCTGTGGATGAAGTTGAGGTTGGTAGTTTTTTCTCAGGTATTTTTGCTTAGTAACTTATGTGACACAACAATCGGTTGTGCGATAAATTGCACAATTTTGTATCCTATATTAATATGCACCTAAACTATCTGGCATTAAGGGCTTAAAGCTGGTTTTATATTTTTGTGGCCTTCACAATTTCTAGATACCACAGTTTATGGTTCCATCAATCAACATTTTATCTATAACCAACACGTTTGTCATGAAATTGATGGAAGCCAAAATATGATAAGATGTGTCTCAGTCATCAGACAATGTCCAAATTGAAGCTTGTCCAGTCATTTTTTTCTCTTGCCGTTCATTTTGACCCATAAGTCACTGAGCCAGAAACAAGGTATGACCAAGCTAAAACTAATTTGGTTGGTCATCATGACTGCCAGCCACTAACGAGCCGTTAATTTAAGCCCTGAAGAAACATGAAATGGGCTGTTACAGTAATATCTTACCTCTTCTAACCCAGTCTCCATTATGAATGTTAATCACTGTGCCAACAAGATCAGATGATCGACTTCTAAACCTCCACAGGGATTCCATAGCTCTACTGGCCTTTTCCTGTTGCACAACAAATAAAACATCTCTAATAAATTTTTTTTTTTGAGAGCACAAAGAAAATTGCTGCCCTTCCATTTTCCATTGAAATAATATTCTAATCACTTTTTCCCCCATCTAAGTCATTTGCCCAAATTGGTTAATTAAAATTGCATTTATTATCAGCATCATTTGGGTGTCATGAACGGCAAAATATCATACAACCTTAACAAGACCATACAGCATGCACACTGTATGATGATCATAACATTACGAGTGAAAAACACAAACATTTCAATCATGACCATGCATGCACTATGTTGTCATCATCATCATCATTATCGGCACCATCATTACCATCATCATAATCATTATCATTATCTCCATCACCATCACCATCACCAACATCATCATCATCATCACCATCACCATCACCACCACCACCACCACCAYCACCATCACCATTACCACCACCATCGCCATCATCATCATCACCATCAGTATCATCATCATTATGTATCATGTCCTATCATCAACGAGACTACCATCATGTAGATTTAGCAAACATATAGTCATAAAACAACAGTTTAGGCACATTCTTTTGCATACTATCTTTAAAACCACTGTCCACATCAGGTTCATGTAATTGACAACAACCATAAAGATGACATGCTAGGTGCTGTACAGTAAATTATTTACACTATATGAAGAGGTTGCAATAAATACCTCAAATATTGGGTCACCAGTCAACCTGGACAGAGCACCAAACTCCATGATCATAGTTCCTGCGCATGCCGTACATGTATCAGACTCACTCCCTGTGCCTGATTCAGGGTGGTGAATACCATACTTTAAGTTGACCTGAAAAATATCCAGAAGATATCTATTGAGTATAAAGAACTAAGGAAATAAACATGCAGTAGGGAACTCAAAAAAACTCCTAGAGTCCTAGATGTTTATTTCATTAGTTCTTTATATTTATGATGAAATATTGTTATTCTATTAAGATATTTATTACTAGATTAACCCTTTCACCAAAGTAACCCGCTTTTCCGGGATTGTAATTTTGTTATCTGTCCAGGTTTGAGGTCTATCTTGGCAAAGCTAGAGAGGAACAGGAAGTTTCAGATATAGGAAAGTCAGGAGCTGTTGTAGCACGTCTAACTAGTGACTTACACGGGAAAGGACACTATTTATACATTGACAATTTTTACAACAGTCTTGCCTTGTGCCTTTATTTGCAGCCACGTAGTAYTTATGTTTGTGGTACTGTTCGCTCCAACAGAAAAGGGTTTCCACCAGCTTTGAAAAATCTCAAASMWTCGACGATGGGACCACGAGGCAGCTTTGAACATAGGAGTTATCATGGCATTGTTGCCCTTAGCTGGAAAGACAACAAATTAGTCCATTTCTTGTCCTCCATTCATTCTCCAGATCAAGTAACTACACTTCAGCGAAACCAAAGACGAYGGGGTGGTGGATATGATTTGGTTGATGTACAAGCGCATTCCATGATAGAGGACTATAATTCTAACATGGGTGGAGTAGATAGTAATGATCAACTCACAATTGTTATGAAGAATAGGAGGCAAATGCGCTGGTACATGCGACTAGTTATGAAATTCCTTGAGGCTGTGGCTTTTAACTCCTACGTCATTGAAGGGTTTTTTGTAGATCATACCCCCCCTGGAATGAGAAAGAGATCCTTTGCAACCTTTAGAGAGGAGTTAATACTGCAGCTGGTTGGGAATTGGAGGATGCAAAGGTTGAGACCTGGAAGGAAAAGGCAGGCAAACCCCTTCAGACTTGACAATGTTGGAGACCATCTTCCTGTCAAGGGTATTGGCTGTGACCACACCTGTCAAGTCTGCACTGAGAGAAGGCRCCGGTACATGGCTTCTCACCCAGATGTCCCAAAGAGAGAGGTTCCTCATAAATTAACCAAGACAACATTCATGTGTGACTGCTGTAAAGTGTATTTGTGCATCAGCAGGGAACTCAACTGTTTCAGAGTATGGCATACCAAGGTAGAATATTGGAAAGAGTAATCCATCCTTCCTGTCAATTCATTCCGGATAATGGCTACTCTTTCCAAATTGTAGGTTGTAGGCACCGAACTTTCATATGTAATGCTGACAGAAATATCTGATTAACCATAGTTCTTGGACTGACATTTTTTATAT